GAATATGAGTTGTCATGCTATCATCGACAATCTGAACATTGGGGTAAAACCAATGCGGTAAAACTTAAGTTCAGAACATTGTCAAGAGGAAGAGTGAGTAGCTTGAAGAGTTCGAGGGGAATGCTCCTCTTGATCGCAAGAGGAAAATTTGCAAGATGGGTCATGAAGAGATCAATGCCTTGCTGTACGAGTATTTCAAGGATTGCACTGCAAGAATGTTCCCCGTGTCCAGACCTCTCCTTCAGGAAAAGGCACTGGCAATCGCAGAGGAGTTGGGGTTTCTGACTTCAAGGCATCAAATGGCTGGTTGGAGTCTTTCAAGAAGCGCCACAACATTGTCTACGGGAAGATGAGTGGTGAGAAAGGCGGCGTAGACAGCAACACTGTTGAGGATTGGATGAAGAAAGTTCCGGGACTTACTTCTGGTTATGACCTCCGGGACATCTACAACATGGATGAGACTGGCCTCCTCTTCAAAGCTTCCACTGATTCCACACATCACATCAAGGGGGTAGATTGCTCTGGTGGAAAATGATCGAAGGAGCGCAGCACAGTAATGCTGTGCGCTAACGCCCTCGAAGAGAAGGAACAACTGCTAGTCACTGGGAAGTCCATCAAGCCAAGGTGCTTCGGTAGACTTGAGAGCAGATCCTCCTGTGGATTACCACGCCAACAAGAAAGCTTGGATGACAAGCAATGTCTTTGAGCTGTACATGAGAAAGCTTGACAAGAAGATGGGACAAGACAAGAGAAAAATCATCATGTTGCTGGACAATGGCCATGAGCCATCCACACCTGCAGCTGAAGAACATCAAGCTGATTTTTCTCCCCCCGAACACCACGTCAGTGACACAACCAATGGACCAGGGCATCATTCAAGCACTGAAACTGAAATTCTGGAAGAAGCAACTGAGAAGTATCCTGCAGAAAATGGAAGGAGACAAAGAAATGACCAGTCCTGAACTGATGAAGGAAACAGATGTCTTGCACACCATCTATTGGGTAGACCAATCATGGAAAAATGTTGATGCCTTGACAATCCAGAAATATTTCAAGCGATGTAGAGTTGGAGAAGATGTACCATCTGAAGATGAGGAGACCACAGCAACCAAAGATGAGGCACTGGAGTCTGCCTGTCATCAGACTTTGGACATTTCCCTTCAGGAACTGGTTGACACTGATGCAGAACTGCCAACCTCAGATGATGATCCAGCCTCCTCCATGAGTGATGTGCAGAAGCGCCTTCACGAGAATGCAGAAGACCCTGACAGCGATGCAGATGAAGACAAAGAACAAGCTCCCTCCACAAGCATCAAGAACTACGAACAGTTTGCCGCCCTTCTGAATGACATGAAGGCATTTGCAGTCTTGAAAGGGTCTAGTTCTCTTGTCAATGCCTGCATGGACACGGAGAAGGTCGCAGCAGAGAGCCTACAAAATTGCAAAGTTGTAAGCCAGTTTGAAAAAGAAGCCACCCCCCCAAAAAAAGGAAAAAAAAAACAAAAAAACAAAAACTGAACCTGTTCTACCCGTACTGGGCCGCATCAAACCCAACAGCTTTTTCACTATGTGAGAAACGTCCCCGTCGTGCTGGAAATGCACTTCTGCCTAGCTAATTCTCACAAGCTGAACCTCCTAAATCCCTTAAAATATTATATTTTATATGATGTGCAAATATTAACACACCCTTACATAAATGGAAACAGAACCACATGTACACAGACATAACATAACAATGGTTGCTGAGGCAGGTTTATCTGAATACATTAACACTTGTATTCTAAACCCCGTGTTGAGGCAAGGTTGGGCAAATACATGTATAATCAACCTGTACAGAAGGACCACCTGTCCATAAAAGACCGCAATTATTGTTTCCCTTGAGCGGTCTTTTTGTGCAGGTTTGACTGTACGTATCTGATTCGGATGAAACTTTGTGTATGGCTGGAAAGGGAAGGGTTCTAGACCAAAATTGATCTGATGTGATTCTGACCTCATCCGGTGACAGGTCTTGTGACATTAAAGGTGCACTCTTTAAAGCACTATACATGTACATTTTGTGGAAGTACATGTCCAATTGGGTTGAAACTTTGTATACAGCTGGCCAGGGAAGGGTTTTAGACCCAAATTAACCTGATGTGATGATGATGTCATCAATTGACAAGTCACTTGACATTAAAGGGGCACCCTTCAAAGCTCCATATTTTATGAGATACATGTCCAATCAAGTTGAAACCTTGCAGATATCCAGAAAGGGAAGTGTAGACAGAAAATGACCTGATGTTATGATGATCTGTGACAGGTCACATGACATTAAGGGTGACTATCAAAAGCACTGTATCTCTTGAAGTGCATGTCCAATTTGGTTGTAACTTAACAGAAAGCTAGAAAAGGACTTGTTACAGACAAAAAATAAACTTATGTGATGATGTCCTCAGATGATAATTAAATCCTGTTGACGTTATCATGGGTGATGTGACATGATTAAAGATGTGGATCATTTTCTTTGGTTTTGTACACAATTTTTGTTCGATCATTGACTTCAGTTTGGTACTTTGATGAAACGTTTATATAATATGAATCTTTGACATGAACAAAGACTGTTCATGTGAAAGCCAAAACAGTGCATTTGTCTGCTGACAAACATATCTCTAGTTGTTATTTTAATTTAGTTACAATGAATGCACAAAAGGTTTACTCGAGTGTATCCCACTGATGCAAAACTCTTGTCCTTTGAAGACACATTAACGTATAACTGCTATTCTAAAACAGGCCCTCATTACTTTTTTTGGTGCGCATGATGTCTTGCTATTAAACCTCAAGTAGAATGCCCTCATGGATGGCAGCTTTGCAAAGTTTCAGTTCGGACAGGGTACATAAATGTGGTTTTTAATGCAACAGCCTCAGCTCATTCAATAGTGTTATGGGATTATAAAATTTAAAAAGTTTCAGAGATTTCTGTCACACTGTGCCGATTTTTTAATGTCATTGAAAAGGAAAGGCCTTCCCTCTAAAGTAACTGAGTGTCAGGTCACAGATGAGTAATTGCGTATTTATCTTCCAGCCTTTCAATTCAACCTTGGAATTGAAATAATTCCTTTTTCCAGGTTATGTATAAATTCAGTATACTATTGTGCACTGAAACATTGTAAGCAGTCAGAACAAATTTTGTTATCAAAATTAATCATTTAAGGATCTTGTACAGGTATAAGTCCGTTGTAATTTCAAATATGGAATAACAACGAGCCAATTTGGAATTTAAAAAAGCTAAGATCGTGTGCGAGTCAGCGTATGGCTGTGCTGATAGAACAGACTATCGCATGCGTGTGTAGCTGTTCCCGAATAGTCTTGCACAGGGCATGCACTGTTGGAATACCAGAGTGGCTCATTACATTTGTATTGTGCCCACAGAAATTGTGAGGTAACATTCAGTGTATCTTCCAAGGAAAGCAAATTGTTCAAGAAGGTACAGAAATATATAATAGAAGTTTACAACTTAAAAATGTCCCACAACCAAATTTCTATGTGCATGTGATTTGAATGGGTCCTGACACTGTGAAAAAGTCAAATATTGATAATGGATTTGTATTTTCAAGATGTATTTTTGCGTTGGGGAGATGTTAATTATATATAACGGTTTGCCCGTACCGAACGTATATTAATAAGCAC